TTCCCGCAAAGCCCTACCACGTCTACCTTATCAAGCATCAACATACACCAAGTTGTGCACAGCCAACGGGTCTGTCCACTGTGGAAACAACACCTCATATTAGCTTCACTGAGAAGTAGCAGATCAAGTGGTTTATCTTGCAGCAACGTCAAATACCTTCACAGGCACCACATATCAGAGGATCAGCTAAGACAGCAAGAAGACGGCCACGAAAAAAGTATGGATCGACAACAAACATGGCGTTCACGCCACGGCAACAGACAGTGCCAGCTAGCATGCACTGGATCGTAAATTGTTCTTCTCCAGAACACTGAAAGGCAGAGTAGTTTACAACAATAATGATCAAGGGAAGGATAGCAGTTAATTCATGGCTCTAGTGATTAGTGATTAGAAAGGATTTTCATCACAGCACTCTGAACAGATCCATACGTGCTCCGATCTCCTCGTTAAAAGCTCCACTAGTGTAAAACGACTGATGACGCCTGCTCTGTGCTGGTTAATGAAACGTCTTGCCCCTTAGGAAAATGTTCATTTCTTGCAGCTCCAGGCTGCAACCCTATGTCCATCAGTCTAGACAGGGATACGGGGTCATGTCCTTCGGCGTGCTCCTCGGTACAGTAAGTGAATGGGTCTGTCTGTACTTAATGATTATCACTTACTTAAAAATGTGTTTATGTATGAACAATTTTAAAAACTCAATAAGAATTATTTACGTGATCTCACAACAGCGATGTACCTCTGGACTTCAAACTTGACTGTCTCCTTGGTGATAAAAACTGCCCTTTTTGGGGTAGAGTTTCAGAAAATTATAGTTTCACTTAAATGAAAGTTTCAAAAGGTCATTTTTTAAAGGGTGTTTATGGGCTGAAAGGGTTAAGAATAGCAAAGTGATTAAGGCTTGCTAGCTTATTGCTCTTTTCTGTTTTTTAAAACCAGGCCTTCAAGCCACAAATCAGTAATTGCAAATTAACCTGTACCTTTACATGACACTCATATATACAATAATGATGACAGAAAAAGTACTATATAATCAAAGAAACAATTTATACAAGCATACATTCTTACCAGTACAACAAGAGCAAAGAGTATCTCAAAAAAGTATCTTAAAATGCATCAGGGCAAAGAGTCACATCTATATTGAACTTAACAGTACGCAGGAGCAAAAGTGGTGTAGCAGCTAGATGCCTACGTGCCGATCTGAAGGTTATGGGTTAAGGTCCTGGCAGAACTGTGACAAAACTGTCTTGGCTTCCAGGTTGACCCAGCATATCAGGTAAAGTCCTGGGAAGTAAAGGCGACCAGAGTGACGCTGACCTCATCCCCCACCCAGTGCCGGCTGGTCTATAAAATAAAGGTCTAGCCCAATACACCTGAAGGTGTGGAAAAGGGTCCTTTACTTTCAGTACACAGCAGTGGGCAGACACAACAAACAGAACCAAACAGTGTGGACTTTACCATTAAAATATCTTGAAGGTACTGCAAAGAACATATTTCACACACAAGGGAGTAAAATCATAAACTTTCTTTCAACTGCTTATCCGCAAACTAACAGGGTCTGTTTTATTACAAATTATCTGTCAAAACACAGCAGCCCTGCTCCTAGTGAACCAGACATTAGGCTGTGTTCTCAATTATTTCAAAGAATAACAGACAAGAAACACCACACACAAAACCCAAAGTGTCTCAGCTTGTATGCATTCCTTGAAGATCACAATTCTTACAGAATGTACATTATTACATAATTCGCAAATAAAAAAACAATTTTAAGGGGAAAACACAATTTACAAAATGTACAGAGGAGCGGCTGGCCGAGCCATTACAATGACGGGATCTCATGCGAGTGACCAAGTTTGACCCCCCGGTAAGGTGACTGAGTTTTTCTGTCGAGAGCAAAAATTAAACAACCTAACTGCACAGTCCATGGCGACAGCACTAGCCAGGTGGCCCTAAATTCTTAGGCTCAAGCCGTGCTCGCTCACTCACCTCTTTCAAAACATCTGGGATGCTCTTTTTGGCTGTCCAAGGAATTGTAAGAATTCTTATGTAAAACCACATTTCTGAAGTCTCAATAAACTGTTTGGCTTATATTATCTCTCCTTATATTTAACATTTTTCATGCGAAATCCACTTAGCCGTGAACAAAATTATATGAAACACTGACATACACAGAGTATTGATTATATGTGATGAGTTACATATGAATACAAAACACTTCTCTCCCCCCCCCCCCTCTCTTTCGCACAAACACACACACATATGTATTATTAAATATACAGAAAAGAGAGTAAACATAATGGAAGCACAAACAAACCATTATGATCTGAAGAGAATGATACAGTGTGGAGTCAGCATAACATATGGAAACACTCAATACTCAGAAGAAAGGCAAGATGGACATACAATCACACTGCTCCTGGAACCCTCAGAACTGGAACTTTTCACTGGGTGCCGAAGATGGGGACAGAGCACTTATGGGAATGCCCTGAGTGCTGTGATGTCAACTCAACACAGGAACATGCATACATCCATATGTGTATGTGCCTCTCTGTTCTTCTGCCCTTATCCCCCTACTGCAGCTCTTAACGGCACAGTTTTATCTTTTGCCATCTGCAACTCACTCCTGTCTTCTCTATATTATTCACATCTTCGTAAGTCTCTATCTCATTGCTCTGTGGGTTCCAGTGCAAGGGAATTTTAATTATATTATTATCAGATTTTCTTCGTATAATGTATGTCCTATTCAGTGCCAGCATCTTTCCCTCTCCTCCTGATTCAATGGAATGTTATATAAACATGTACTGAGCTAATACATTTCTTGTAGTCCAGAGCAGCACTATTAAAGGAAGTGACATAAAGATAGTCAGTGAATCCAATAAAGAAGACAGTAAAAATATTTAATGGGGAGCCACAGTACCGCAACAGCTAGACATGTGCCTTCTGGCCTGAAGGTCTAGGGTTCAAATCCAAATCGGAGCAGATATTTTCAAAAGCTAACCTTGTCCCCAAGGTTGACTCAGCCTAAAATGGGTACCAGGTAATGAATGTGGTTTAATCTACTCAAATATCTCTCGGCTGTGAGTTAATCTAAGAAAATCTCTTCAACTGTGGGTTAATCTAACCAATAGATAACAGATCCACTCTCCAAGACTGCCCCAAACACAACATATCAAGGCAAATCGTTGGGCCAAGAGAAACTAGAGTGTGCTACAAAACAACAGTGAAGTTCATACTAGAGACAACATTGCAGATATAGATAATTTTTCAAGTGAACGAAACAAGAAGAAGAATCTAACCAATATTTTCATCAGCTGTAGGATAATCTATCTAAAATACCTGTCAGTTGTGCATTAATCTCCATTTCTCAACAGTTGTGAGTTGATCTCTTCAATATTCCTGTTGTCTAAGGTCCCTCAGATTGTCTACCCAGCTGGGTTCAACTCTCCATACCCATCCGTTAAATAGTTTGTCACTTATTTTACATGTCTGACTATTTTTTCCTCTCTGGTCTGCTACCTGAAGGCCTGACACCACTATGACCCATGAACCAACAGGACAAATCCCAGGTATCAACTTCCTAGTGATTATTAAGGATACCTTCTGTCATCTTTAATGTCCCAGTCAGGTAGCGACTACAGATTGTTTGCCGATTTATACCTGTAAACTAAAATCATGTGGTCGCAAACAAACAAAAATCTTCAAAGCAAAGTTTACCTGATTCCCCCCCCCCCCCCCCCCCCCCCAAACCATAATAACTAAATTAAATTATCCATATTTCTAAAAAAAAATAGATATAGGGAATGATTAAAAAAAAAGATTCATCGACAATGTGGTAATGAAGATCTCTCTCAAATGGTCACTCTGCTATTTCAGATTTGTTAGGTAGCCATCCTTAAAATTAAAAAAAATTACTGACGCTATGCAATGATAACTAGAAATTATAAGAGTTTATTTACACTGGAGTAATAAAATAAAGAAAAGGCATAAAAAGCCTGTATCACTAGCACAAATTGATATATTAATGTCACAAGAATCTACAAATAAAATTATGCGACCTTACTTTCCCAGTCTTTTAATTTAAAGATAAGCCATCAGCTCTCTTCTTCTTCTTCCTCTTTTCATTCTCCTTATCAATGGTTTTCATATGAGAAGGTCACATGCCTCTATGAAGATTGTGGTGCGATGCATGTCTTGCACTGATGTGATAATACAGCTAAAATAAATATCTTTTTGTCTCTACTTCTTCTGCAACTCTGAATATATTGCCAATCAGTAAAATACAATTTGTTTATCATACAGCTCTTGGATGTGAACTGATAAAGTCAGTTATTCAGCTCATCACTTCTCTCATTTACAGGGTTTCCTATAAGGTTACATTTATAGGAAAAATTAACATTTTCAAAGAAAACCATGTCAATTTATATAATATGCTCCACATGACCACCATTACTTTGAAAACACATTTCGATGTGTATCCTCTGCTCTCTGAGAAGACATATAAACACAGGTGGAGTTATGCTTATAATGACATTAGTAATCTGGGTTTTTTTTTCTCATATGTGTGGATACTTATGGGACATCATGTTTAGTGTCTTTGTTGACCAAAGAAACCGGCTCAATGTTTAACAGCAGGCAGAAGAATGAGAAATGCAGCTCTGCGGCTCAGAAGCTAGTGAATGATTTTGTAAATTTCATGATCCTCGAGTAGTAGGAGTTTGACTTCCGCAACAGCGATCTTCTTATATTTTTTGTTTAAACCGCTCTCATGGTATTCAGACAGTGAGAAACGAGTTGTACCAGGAATGAAACTGGGACTTCACCATGTTCCCAAATACAACAGTGGGTACACCGTAGCTAACTTTCATTGTGAAGACCGTGTTCAATCAATTAACTAGAAAAATGAGCAAGTGAACTGACCATTCAAATATGGGCAAGAATAAATAAATAGCTTTAATCAATTATGAATGCCAATGCAAAGACTTAAATCACCAGACAGGATTCCTTCATATTACACCTAGCATAGGGAAGTTTTTAGCTTGTTCTTTCCTCTCCCCTGCAGCTTGCTGAAGGCTTCCATTGCCACCTGAGAAGTCATTAGCATTTTCCCCATCGTATATCAGATGAGCATACCCGACGTCAGCAGGTCTGGTTATATTGGCATCTTTCTTGTCAATGTCATTGAAGAGAAGTTTCTTGGCAGATTTCCTTGGAGAGCATCTTCGTGCCGATGTGACCGGTTTGTGCTTCAGTTTGGACTTTGGTGTCGGTGAGGGAGATGACAAAAATGTTCTAATGAGGCGACTCCTTGGTGACAAGATGGGGGACTCACCCCGAACTGCACTTGAAAGAGTACCTTGTGACTTGCTGCTGTGAATCATGTAGCCTGTAAGGTAGAATAGGACAGATTGACATCAGGTTGTATTTCAGCAGCTACACATAACTGCCTTAATATATCTCTCTCTTTCTCCTCCATCTATCTCTCTCTCTTGTATGCATGCACATGCTCTCTCTCTCACACACGCAAGGCTCTCTCTCTCTCTCACACACCCCCCAACTGATCTACCACTACATACTTGCTCCTGCACTACCTAGTTAAAAGCTTAGACTATAATAAAGTTTAAGTGTTTTAAGTTGGGAGAAGTATTCTAAAATAATCAGAGAAATATTCGTCATCATGTAGCAGGATCATATAGCAGGTCCTCTGCATAATGTTGCTCTATCGCTGACTGGCTGAAAGAAAGTCTTTCACCAGCTTTCCAGCCTCATGCACTCTCATATTCAAGGAGTCACTTATATCCTGCCCCCATATTCGTGTTTGTTGGCCCCTGCCCCTCCTTCCTGGTACCATGCCTTCTGCTATTATTTGTTTCAAATCTGCCATGGCTCTTGTTATGACCAAAATATTACAGCTTCCAAGACAAGATGCTGTTTATTAGCCAATATTTTAAAATGTCAATATCTCTTCTCTTTCAGTATTTCTTCTCTTCTTTGTCCATGATATTCTGAGAATATTTATATAGCATTTCGGCTCAAAAACCCCTATTTTCTATCTTAGGGACTAGGAGATAGTCCACAACTCACATCCATATGTTGCGCTCTGATATACTATTCTTCCCAATTCACATTCATAAAAATGGCAGAATGATTACAGCCAGAATTCCCAGCAGACACAGCAATAGTCTTCCTTCCAGTACAGCCTTGGGCTTGACCTAGTCTCATAAACATGGACAAAAATGACATTTCAGAAGTTCCAGAGTTTTGTTTTGCTTCCACTACCTTAAGTTTTTTTTTTTTTTTTTTTTTTAACATAAAGCAAAAATAGGACTACTTACTTGAATTCAAATGAAAACCATGCCCCATTTGAAACGGTCACATAGATTTTCATAACTGATTATTACCCAAAAATGTACACAAAAGCTATCAAGAATCTGACACACATCAAATGCAGACTGTATCATCTCACCTTGACAGTCAGGCACTCCTAAATCACTCTTCTCTGCAAGTTCAAAGGACTTGACTAAATTCCGAGAGGGTTGGGTTTTGGAAGAATAGAATGCTTCCCTCACAATGTACCTCGCTGGTCGGTTCAACGCACAATCCTCAGTACCGCCAGCATCATCATCATCATCTGCAAGATAAGAACACAAAACATTACTGAACAAACAAATATAAACTTAATTGACAGGTCGCTTTAAAGTGGAATCTTACTGTTAGTACCATCATCTCCAAACCCTCCGTAATGACCTCTTTTAATATGCATTCTAGGCTAAAGTATTAGCTTCCTTTATGGACACCAGTAACAAACACACTTGCAAAAAATTCATTTATTTTCTAATTCAAACATCTAAAAGCCATCATTGCACAATGGCAGGAAACATTTTTTACTGAATCATATGAAAGTTAAATGCATTTGGGAAAAAATGGGATCAGGGGAAAATGCCTGAGGAAAATGATGAACATAAAATGGGATCAATTCAAGAGGAGCGAGGAAATAAGAGAAATGTCTGAGCAGCTGCTGAAAACAGCAGTTAAAAGACAAAGAAGATGGTGTTACATTGAACACATCCTGAGAAGAAACAACCAGAGAATCAACAAACAGGTACTAAAATGGGAAGTCTAGGGATTGAGGAAGCAAGGATGTCCAAAAGAAACCCTAAAAGACCATTGATGAGAGAGGTCAAAGATGCTGGAATGGATTCCATCCATGATAATAAAAGGATTGCACAGGACAGAGAGGAATGTAGGAATTAACTGCGAACTCTAAGTGGCAAATAATGGTACAAGACAATGAATGAATGAATAAAACAGTTGTGAACCTCGATAGCTAGATACTGGTCTGCCAGCCTTTAGATCTTGGATTCAAACTGGCAATGAGACAGCTTTTTATTTTCAAAACTGAACTTGGCTCCCAGGTTGACTCCTTTAAATTAACACCAGGTAATGTCCTGGGGAGTAAAGGCAGCCGAAGGGATGTTGATTAAATCACACATCAAGTACCTGATGGGTCTATAAATATATCTCTAGCATCTATCACTGGTGTAAAAGGGGTCCCATTATTTATATATGACATCTAATCAATGCTTGCACGTTGTGGTGAGTCAGTATTGTTGTATTGATAATAACAAACTGCCTGATTGTCAACAATAAACAACTTTTTTAAAGAAATATATGTATTCTAATACAGTAAAAGAACAGGTGTTACATTAGAAAAGTGAGGCCACTTTTCAGGTTCCCACCCTCTCCCAATGTGAATGTGGCCGTGGTCCATAAACAACATTGCTAACCCCTACCACCCCATGCTTGTCCAATCTGCGTGTGACAACAATGGTTCCATTTCTAACACTTAAGGCTGGTGACCTGAGAGTCAAGGTCATTTAATGAAGAAGAAAAAGTCCAGGGGATCCCAACCCACCACTGGTGGAAAATAAAGCAGGTTACCCACACACACAAAAATAGGTCAGGGCACTAGTGGACTTCAGTTTTTCCAATTACAGAAAGGAGAGGGGAGAGGAGGTGGTAAGGGTGAGACAGAGGAGGTGAGAAAGGTGAGAGAAAGAGAGAATAAAGTTTAAGAAAAGAAAGTGGAGACAGACAGTGAGAGAAAGAAGGGAGAAATAAATAAGATGAGATATAGAGGGAAGAACGTAGCAGGAAGGGGTACACCCCCCTTCCCCCCAGGTGTCATCAATGTGGGAAGAGAAAGGGGGGTGACAGTAAATGTGTTTTTTAATAGTACACATATATTTAATGTGTGTGAGAGAGGTGGGAGTGGTGGACACAACATGTTTTGCACTAGGCAACACATAACCTTCTACGCCAATTGAAGGTATGGAGAAAGAGAGGGAGGGAGAGTGGGGGGTAAGGGAAAGCGGCAAATACAATGAGAGAGGAAGGCAGTGACAGACAGGCAGAGAGTAAGGAACAGGTAGGACAAAATGTGAGGGGGCAGGTAGGGAGATGGTCAGAGATTAAGGTCTGCTAAGAAAACAAACACATCAAAAGACAATATTCACCAAGTTCACGCTGCCCCCCCCCCCCCCCCCCCCCCCCCCCCGGGGAATTACCCCCCCCCCCCCCCCCCCCCCCCACAACATCCTATGTACTTGAGTTACTAGGAAAAGAGTTATGGAGCAGCACATTTACTAAACATTTAAACAAGAAATAAAAAAGGAGGGGGGGGGGGGGGGGGGGGGGGGGGGGACAGGAAATGAAAGAGTAAAAGGAAAGATAGAGAGAAAGAGAAGAAGATGAAGATCAGAGGGGAGGGTAAGAGACAATGCAGGGGACGGAAAGGATGGAGCAATAGGTCGAAGAGTGAAAGAGGGAGGAAAGAGAGAGAGAGAGAGAGAGAGAGAGAGAGAGAGAGAGAGAGAGAGAGAGAGAGAGAGATGAGACAACAGAAGAAGGAATCTCGGGGAATTACAATATTGAACGCCAAAGACACTGTAAAGATAAACCAGGCCAAAAATAGAACTGGGAAATCCAGCTGACGTCACTTTGCTTAGCCCCACCCGAGCCCCACCTAGAAACCACGGCCATAAAGCTGGACTCACTAGAAACAAAGGCACACGCACACACTAGACAGCAGCTGCTCCTTCCTGCCCCATGCCATGCCGCGCCGTCTGCATGTATTCATGAGCTGCAACACAGCCCGCTTTTTTCCTGGCCTTTAACAAGCCATTTTGGCTGAAAATAGCCATGAAATGACCGTAAACAAAACTAGCCAAAACTAGCCAAATGGCCCCAAAAAAAAGCCAAATTGCAACAACAACAAAAAACCTAACTGCCGGAAAATCGCAGGACTTCCGATGATATCATTGCGGTGGTCAAAATTCACGGCTTTTCAAGGTCAGAATGTCTTTTTAAAGGTGAAAATCACTGTTCCTGGTCTCAGAATCAAATTCACAGTAAATTCAAGATTTCTCGGTCCACTACGAACCCTGTAGAATGTGGGCAAATCTGTATGTGTTACAGGCGTTACCTTTGACTGGTGTTTCTGCAATAACCTGAACTTCAGGCTGGATATTTTCACGCTGACGACGTCTTTCTTGCTGCCACAGGTGTCTCTGAGAGGTCTGCTTATGTACAGGTGTTCCAAGTACCAGGGTCCGAGATGCCTCTAAAATAGATGTACAGTTATTTTAATTAAATGTCTTCAATCATTCCAAATATGCTAGTAAATTATGCAAATCATCTTCAAAGGAGAGATGGTTCTATCTAGCTATTTATAAGTGGCTCAAAGATTTTGCTTGTTTATATCTAACAGAATCTTCAATAACAAATATAAAATATATCAAATTCATAAACTGTTGCAAAACTCCCAAAGAAGGTGCATTTAAGGTGTTTAGAAATCTAGATAAAATGGGCTGAAATCTCATGAAAATGTACAAATTGGATTAAACGAAGTACAGATCTGATTTAACATAAATGAGAAAGAAAATGGCAGCGTCACCTGGCATGGTCTAGAATAAGCACTGGGAAAATTTGGACCACAAGTCATATAAGCTAGCGAAATCATTTGGTGTGGCCTGTCAAGGCAACCACAAATAAATTGGATAAATTTATGGAGCTTGTTTTCAGTCAGCTTCTGCAGCTGAGGTGCTGCTAACACACTTAATAAATCTGAAATACCCTATTCGATTCCAACTGCAGGTGATTTGGCAGCAGACATGTTTGCACTGATTTTGACAAAGATATGGTGTGCCGACCATGCAGAAAGCATTGGCAAACTACTGGACATACAATTTTCTACTAAAACCACAAACAGCCAAAAGTACATGGGCTGGTTTTGCAACGTCCTGTAAAAGTTATGCAACAAACATTTTTTTTTAGGCCTACTTTCCCCCTAACAAGCATGTTGTGAAAGGTGGTCTTGAAATTGGGGAAATTTGATCTTTCGGGCGGTAGGTTGTTGATATCGCAGCATAGCTGTAAATCACAACATGCCAACTGTTCTTTCAAGGTCAACACAGAGGAAGAAGAACCCTTCTATCAATATTCCAATCTCTTTCTTCTTCGTGCTCACCCGCTGTAAACTCCAGGTCCGCCTTCAGACTTTAGTTGTGTTCTAGGATCTTGAGATCTGTGCGCACATCCGTTTTACAGATCTGGCTTATTTGTAAGCAGACTTAGTTCCTTGCCTCTTAGGCAGATGCACTCCAACGTCAAAGGAAGCTCCCCCCCCCCATAATGGACTCATTCGACATGTTTTTTGGAAGGCAGTGAGTGTTATTCTTGTCCCCCAGCCCCCCCACCCCTCCACAATGGAGCCCCGGAACTCACGTGGAAAAGTACTTTCATCATCAGTCAAATAAATCAACAAAGGCTAAGAAAACCTACTTGAAGCACTGCGTCTCCCCTTTTGAGCACTTCTGGTTTTGACTCTGGAACTGCTCGGAGTGTCGGAAAACAAGTTTCTCTTCGCCCGCTCAAAGTCCACTAAAGAAAGTTCAGCAAAATTTTAAATGTCATTAGAAAATTACCCTTTTCCATGCCATCAGGTGTACTGGGCATATAGGGCTAGACCTTTATTATATAGGCCAATCTGTGGGCGATATGGTCAATATCAGGCTGGCCACCTTTACTTCTCAGGCCTTTACCTGATGCCTTTTTAAGACTAGGTCCACCTGGGAGGCAAAGTCATTTTTGAGAGAAGTCCAGCTTTATCAGGACCTGAACCCATGACCTTTGGATCCGCAGGCAAACATCTAACCACTACACCACAGCCGCTTCCAAATATTAGTATAAGACATTCATAATGTCAAGTACACAGGTTTAAACAATTCTCTAGCTAAACAAAACACTGTACTCTTACCAAGTTTGGAAGCTGCAACTGTTCTGACTGTCCAAAAACAAGTTTCCCTTCTTCTTCTTAAGGACCTCAACCAATTCATGCCAAATCATCCTGTCCTTTGCTACAGCTTGCAACTCACCCCAAATCCTCATCTTTTTAAATTCACTCTCTTGTTGCCCTCTCCGTGTGTTCTTTGCTCTGCCTTTATTTCTATGACCATAAGGGTTCCAGCTTAAAATCATTCTAACTTTATTATTCTGCGGTTTTCTAAGTGTGGGTCAAATCCAATGCCTCTTTTCTTCACCTCTTGATTCAATGTTTCGCTTGGCATGTTTATATTCCACTATAAAAAACAATTCAGGCAAATGCAAAATGTCATTATGAAAACATTCATAATAATAAGTATGTAGCTTTAATTACTTCTTTCATGAAGCAAATAACAATAATTTGATAAATCAGTCCCAGGTTTAGTGAAACAATGAATTCTTAAAGTTACCATCCTCAAGTATCAGAAAAAAACTTATACACACCTAAACGGTTTTTTTTAGATGAACTCCTGGTTTTGGTTTTATCTGTTACTGCCTTTTTGGTCTCCACCTGCTAAATATTGTACGTGATTAATTACACAACGAAACCATGCTAACATTAGTAGCAGTCAGTTACAGGCCAAATGTTAGTCTTTTGAAAAGAAAAAACATAATAAGTTAACAGAAGCTATCACACATTTTTAATAGCACTTTTGTCTCAGTACCAAGAGCAATAATCTGTAAACTGAGACAAAGATATCAGAGAGAGAGAGAGAGAGAGAGAGAGAGAGAGAGAGAGAGAGAGAGAGAGAGAGAGAGAGAGAGAGAGAGAGAGAGAGAGAGAGAGAGAGAGAGAGAGAGAGAGAGAGAGAGAGAGAGAGAGAGAGAGAGAGAGAGAGAGAGAGAGAGAGAGAGAGAGAGAGAAATGAAATCTAAAGCCTGAGAAATTGGCACACACTACAAAACTGCCCTAATGTAACTCATTTTTCAAATATTTTATTCTCAATCTCAAATAACATGACTTCTAAATAGTTTTCAGAAAGTAAGGGGGGGGGAGAAGGAGGAGGAGAAAGAGGAGAGAGAGAGAGAGAGCGTGAGAGAGAGAGACAGAGAGAGAGAGACCTCTATGAATGTTAATACTATTTGTGACACTATTTAGTTTATTCTATGACATTTCTTTTGTAATATTACACATCTCTTTGACTCTTTCGCTCCATGAAAGCTAAACAAATATGACGCACTTACCCCCCCCCCCCCCCCAAACCCATAACTATATCTATAGTTAATATATTCATGTTCACACCTCCCACTTTGCAGGCACATACAGAACCAATGGAATTTAACTATGCCTTTTGTGAATAGGTCACTGCAGAAATGCCCATACAACAGTAATGGTGAGACTGTTTCATGACTGAAAGTAACTAGAATTAGTCTTCTCTGGGCAACAGTGTTAAGCTGTGCCCACCTTGACTTCGCAATTTCTTTCCATCTTCTTTTACAGTTTTACTCTCTTCACTCCCAAGTTTTTATGATGAAAAGGTTGGAATGATGCCAAAGTTTTCTATGGGCTAAATCCTTGTTTGCAGAAAAATTGCATCTGAACACTGAGACAAACTGAAGCTGTGTGGAAAATAATAATTCACTTTCACCTCTTTGGAATAGGGAGCCACTGTGGTGTAGCAGCCAGATGCTCACTTGCGGATCAGAAGGTCTTGGGTTCAGGTCCGGGCCAAGCCCTACTTTAAAAAAAAATGAACTTGGTTCCCAGGTCGACCCAGCCTTAAATTGATACAGGGTAAAGTCCTAGGAAGGAAAGGTGGCCAGCGTGATGTTGACATCTCCCACCGAGTGCCGATTGGTCTATAATATATAGTTCTGGCCCTATATTCCCGAAACGTCCAAAGACTTTTAAAAGTCCTTTACTTTACTAACTGGAGTGGGAATTCACATGTGTACCATTTGGTATAAGGTGACATAAAACAGCTTTTAAAATGCACCTAGGTGGAAATCACCAAAAGTGCACTTAGGTGTTCAAGAGTCATCCCAGCCCCATAAAATATACTCAAGAAAATTGTCCCTGGCAATAAATATCCAATACACCGCACTGGCATAGAATTAGCTGTTGTTGTTTTTTCTGCTGCCAAAATCAACATAAGGTGAAGATGCATCTTTACTATAAGTGATGCACATAATTATTTATTCCGAAAATTTCAGGAGGAAAAAAACCTACCTTAGGTTTGGGCTTTGGTTTGACCAGAATCTGTTTTTTCTGTCGGAAGTCAGAAAAGCTTGGATGCTGTTTGAATTTGTTGAACCTGTAATATATAAAAGTTTTTTTATGAATGCTTAATTACATATAATCAGAGAAAGTACTAGTAAGCAACTATAACAGAGCAAAAATGGACATTATTAAAAACAGACGTATTACTACAAGTTTAAAAATCTTTTCTGTCTGCAGTCTGTTTTAAATGGATGTGATGCTGGACAGGCGGTAGTGAAATGAAGGCTTTGGAACAATAAAGATGTGATTTGTATAAGAATACCATACACAAAAAAGCTCTTTCATTTGTGCAGTGGTTGTGCTGTGGTATTCAATGTGGGCAGTAGCCGGTTGACATGTGAGCTGGTGAAATACCGTATGTAATAATTCTGCATGTGTATAGCAGCTTATCATTCCTGACTACTTCCATCAACGACAAACTGCATTTCTGGTGGCGATTGTTGGCTTTGGCGCCTCTGGCAACTGAAATATGCACTGACTACTTGAGCATACTAATTTTTTGTTCACTAGTTTTTCAAATGGGACAGCAAGGAACATTTCATTTGATTTTCACTGGCACAGGAATGGAGCAAGTCTGGGGAAACCCAGAAAGTTGAAATCTTGACTATGAATAAGACAAAGACAAAGAAAAGAAAAACATGAAGGTTTTATTTTTCTGCTTAGCATTCATTGACTGTAAACTCTGAAAGTTCTGGTTGCTCGTTCACTTCTAGGCTTTCTTTTTTCTCTCCAGAACTTGAGTTTTAATGGCACATTAATTTTACAGATTTGGTTTATTTGTATGCAGAATGTTTCCTTAAATCACAGGCAGATGCACGCCAACTTCGGAAGATTCAGCCTATAAGCCTTTTACAACATGCTTTTCAAGATGGCAGTGGCTTTATTCCCTTTCCCTCCCCAAACCAACCAACATGGGAAGTTTTAAGTATTCACAGCTGCAGTCATTACAAGATCATTCATCAAAATCATTTGCTAACTAAAAACACACAAAAATTTAAGAAGTACGCCAATCAAAGAAGTGAAATTGAGAAATAATGTGGTAAAATACTAGGCAAAAGAGGCAGAGGAAGACAGAAAGGTTATGTACAATTGGAAAGCTTCAACAGCTGGAAAGAAACAATCGTAAAAGCAATGTCAAAAATTCATCACAACATCTGTTATGAAACAAATCCCGGTGAATGTGGTTCTTTAGCAAACACAATTAGTTTAAGAAAGAGGGGACAGAGGGATGAAAAAAAGAGTGAGGAAGATACAGAAGGTGAGAGAATGATAGAGGCTGGGGGAACATAGCCATGGAACAATTTGCTGTGAGGCGATTCTTTGGCAAACACTAATTAGAAGAGAGGAGAGTAGTGGAGGAGGGAGCAGGGAAAATACAGCTATGTAACAATTCACATGGAAGTGGTTCTTTGGCAAACACTAATTCATTATAAAAAGAGGAGTGAGGGAGAGAAAAAAGAGAGGGAAGGTATGAGGAAGAGACAGAGATACAGCAACTAACAGGCCACTTTCTTATGAGTATTTTTATTACTCATGACAGTATTTGATTCATCCAACATTTACATTTCTCTTGAAATAATACCCATCTCTCTTTGACTTTGCAGTCTTGATCTACATTTTTTTTTCTTTTTACTTTTTTTTCTTTCACTTTCAGGTTTTCATGACCAAATGGTTCTGCAGTCAACTATCCTCATTCTTTACAAATGACAGATCTTTCAGAGGCTTAGGCCATCTGAATGCCAATTAATCAAACTCAACAGTTCAGAGTGAGAACAAAGAGTTGAAATTTAAGACATAAAAATATGGGTTCCGCAAAAAATACAATACTCTGTTTTTTATTAATATCTCACCCCAGATGACGTCACAGGACAGTCCAACATTTTAGAGGGTGGTAAGACTGGGTTTTTCGGCTTTTAACCCCAAAACATCTAGAACTGGCCCTAACCCCAACCCACCCACATCCGACGAAAGAGTGCAGCCTAGGTCCCACGACTGCATGCAGCCTATTTACCACACCCTGAATTATTAGACTGTCCCGTGACCTGTGGATCTCCCCTATTTGGGGTAGGATATTAATAAAGCACCCAATACTCTACAGCAAAATGTTTGCATCCAAACCTCTTAGCTTGCTGTGAAGACTGGTCTGATAAAAGAGATGATGGCTGAGAAGACACTGGAGCACTGAGGAAACTGGCTTCATTTGTGTGCGACTGCTGAGTTTCAGAAACACTGCTCGGAGTTGCTGGTGAAGCAAATTTGGCTAGAGCTGACGGCAGCGGCAGCATGAGTTCATCATATACATCCACCATCAGATTAGGCAAAGTTGAAGAGTAACTGCATAACAAGATAACAAACATGTTTAAAGGTTCTATATTTAAAAAAATGCACGTAGACTGGCTCATAAATATATAATGCAAATTAATAATCTTTAATGATCTTCTTCCTCTGCACCTGCCATCGAAATGGGGTTGTGTAGGATTCTAATCACTTGAGGTCGTGAGTGCAGGGACTGGCCAGCTGGTGCTGCTGAATCAGAAGTTCAACAAATGATTCTTGACAATTCCAGCTCAGGTGACGTAATTATCTATACAGACTGTGTTGAGAGGAAGACAAAGTGCATGGGAGTACATAGAAAAGCTAATGGATGTAGTTTAGTGTAAAAAAGCCTGACATATGATATCACAATGTGTAATCTGAGAATGGAGGTGAAAGGAGCCACTGCTGCCTTCCACTGGCTTGAGTATCAGCTGTACACACATGTTGTGATTGTCAATTGACTCACAGAGTATGTTGAGAAAGGTGGAGACAGACATGTTTCGTGCAGAGTGGCAAGCATCACTTTAGAGGTCCGGGGTAGTTAGCATTTTTTTGGATATTTACTTCAGGTTACAATGGTGTGTTGGAAAACAAGGAGGCAGATAGAATAGCAGGTTCTGCACCACTTTATGTATGACGAGCTAGATGTTGTGAGGGCTCTTTGGGTGCGCGTGAACAGTGCGGAGGCACAAACAGATTATTACGGTCTGAAGAGAATGGTGCTGCACAGGAGTTACCAGGAAATCTGGCCAATGTTCAACACTCAAGGGAAAGGTGAAACATATGTATAATCAAACAGTTACTGGTACCATTGGAATTGGAACTCTTTGCTTGCTGCTGAAGATGGTGACAGAGCACTTATACGAGTGTCCGGAGTGCTATGTGACGATTCTTAACACAACATTCAATAGGGGATTGGCTTATTGTGCTTACAGTTAGACTGCAAAATCTGTGATCAGATGTCAACATACAGATAACGTCCACTTTTACAACATGGTTATTATGGATTAGTGCATCTACTTCCATCTCCCAACCCCCAGGTGGAGGCAGTGGAACACATAATGGGATCTTAGTGATCGATGCACAAAAGTCCACCAAAGATGTATGTAGTCAGTAAAATAGAACCTTGATAAAACAGATCAAAGAAATGACAGTACAAGTGAGGAGCAGAACCTGTCAGCATCACAATACCACAATCATGAACAATGAAATGAAACCTGTGGCTAGAAAGCCTGGTGCTTTATTAATATCCTACCTCAAACAGGGGAAATCCAAAGGTCACTGGATAATCTAATATTTCAGGGGGTGGTAGATAGGCTGTGTGCATTCGTGGGACGTAGGTGGGTTGGGGTTAGGGCCAGTTCTAGATGTTTTGGGGTCGTTAAAAGCATGAGAAAGCTTACCACCCTCTAAAATGTTGGACTGTCCTGTGACGTCATCGGGGGTAGGATATCACGAAAGAATCGAAAGCCTTCATGAGCATACGACACAAACAAGCAATGAATACAAAATGCACGTGCAGCTAGATCCTGATTCCTGGGCAAAATATGCAGCAGGCTTCTGTGTTGAATGTATCAACTGCTCTAACACTATATCAGTGGAAGCAGGACTTTATTCTGTGCCAGGCCTCCCAGATATTCTTTTATTAACATCACACACAGCACCACAGGTTTCAAATCTATCACCACTACAGACATTTGTCTGGAGGGTTACAGGTAACATTGCAGATTCATGGCTCCGTTGTTTTTGAACTTCCACATTGTACTAAATTTGAAATACTGCTTACAAATTATCTGCATTCCTCAGACAAGTGTACATTACGTAAGTATGAGTAAAGAGCCCCTTCCCCCTTTATAAACCAGTGCCCCTTTTTTTTTTTAGTTTTCAGAAGCAATGAGTTGTTAGCCTTTTGGCTCGGTACTATGGATATCGCAACCATTCTGCCTTGATACCATGATAGATAATAATAATACCATTAATCTGGGAGAAATGTGACTTTTCTGCCTACCCCTGGGCGTGAAACCGGACCATAAGGAGTTCGTCACCTGGTCGCCGCGAAGTCAGGTTTAACCAACTACGCTAGCGAGCCAGGCAACCAGTGCCCATAAGGCATATGGCACCAAATGTCACTCGCTAGATGTTATCAACATCTTACCGGCCATCTTAAGTGCCTAGGTTATTAGCTGGTACCCCATTTTAGGCTGGATCAACCTAGGAGAAAAATCAGCTCTGAAAAAAATTGGCTGTGATGCGGATTCGAACTCAAGAATTTCCAGTACTGGCATTATATACCCTGTGGTTTTCAGAACATGGTCAACAGAAAGAGAGATCTGTAACAGCTTTTCTTGTAACAATTAAGCTGGACATTTCTACTCTGATACTAGGTTGGGAAGAACATCTCTAAACCAACCTCAGTCCAAAAGATGCAAGCAAGTACCGTTCAATTCTCTGATTCCTCGTGACAGTTCTGAGCACCACTGGTTGGAAAAGGGGTGGGGGGAAACCAATGCACTGCCTGCAACATGTATGTCATAAAACGAGGGAAGAAGGGGGGTAATTAGGATTTTGCTGAAATCTAATGTACTGAGCCGAAAAGGGGAGATATCCCAACCTAGCTGAAAACCAAAACAAAGCACGCCAACCTCCCCTGCAGTGCAAAGCAGAAACAGAGGAACTTTAGTGTGCATCAGACTCATTGGTAAAAACTACTTGAAAAACCAAACAATTAACTGCCAAGATAAACAGTCCTAGCATAAATACTATACATTAATCTAAACCTGTTTTGGTGTGGTTTTTCAGAATTAAAAAAAAATCTGGTGTACTCTCACCTTGTCACAATGTCTTCGAGAAATGTGGTCATATTTGTTGCACTGGTCAGGAAAGAAATAGCTCTCAACATAGACACAATCTGGGGAGGAAACAAAGCTACATGGCATGAAAAAGACTAAAATATTCACAAATTTGTGTTCAGCTTTCCTGTTTTATACTAAGGTCATTTTGTGTTTGTCATCTTATTTGTCTGCTTTCTACAGCCGACAGCAATTCAGGTCCTACTTGTCTTCACCCCAAGAAGTCCTTTTCAATATCATCCCTGTTACTTGTTTGTTTCTAATTTTTTTTTTCAATGCAGGTCAGGGTATCCAGATGTCTTTCAACTTTCTCAACACTGTGTCATTATTATACTGAAAGAAAATCATCCCTGCATCTTGTCTGGTTAGCTGACTATTTTCTCCTGAAGACTAGTTAATCACTGGTAGAATTTATAGCTATGGTTACCTTCCAGACGGGTTACTTATGCAGCTTAAAGTCTTATAACAATATATGGTGTAAGCACCAAGAAAAAAAATTAAAGGCATTATATTACGCTGAATAAAGAAAGATTTGTTGGGATATGACAGGTCATAAATTTGAAAATTAGTGATAAATGACACATCTGATGGAACAAGAGCAATGGAAGTTAGGTGTGTTTCATTTACAGAGTATTTCAAACTAACCCGAGCATCTGCTGGCTGTTTGTGGTTTTGCTAGGCAATTTAACATTCAGTAGTTCGCCACTGCATTCTAAATGGTCGGCTCTTCATACCACTGCTGAACCCACCTTGAGGAGGTCAACTACCAAATCCCCTGCAGTTGAATCCAGTCATGTATTTTAGAATTACAAACCACAATCACAACACTAAGCCATGCAAGCTGACTAGGGAGGCAAGAAAAAAAAGAGACAAATACCTAGATGGCCTGACTACCTGGCACGGGTGTGGGACAAGACCACAGACTTGATCCATAATTCCGGTGATCGTGTTTGATGACTGTCTATATTTATTAGTATGACAAATGATGATTTTTATTTATGATACATGCTCAGGAGTAGAAAAAGAACAGAATAATTTAGTAACTATAGCAGGAACAATAAAACAAACACAGAAAATGGACTACATATTTAACATACTGCACCTCGATAAGAATTTTATGATTGACTGTGTCGGCATCTTTCAGTAGAGATTCCATTTCTAGCAGCAGTATAACTTGTAATTTATATCTGAGAAAATATAAGAAAGCTTTAACTTGTCATTTATGTGTGAAACACTAACAGCATCAGGATAACTTGAACTTTATATCTGCAAGAATATAAAAAAAAACTGTTCAACTTGGAATTTATATTTGAAAGAACAATAGAATCTGTATAAGATGGAATTTATTTCGGAAAGAATTTCAATTTTAGAATTTATAATTTGAAAAAGAGTACTAATATCAGCATAACTTTAAATTAAAATTCCGATATTATAATCAAATGAACAGAACAATTTGACAATATCTACTTTCTTCTTCTTCACAATTATGAACAATTAAAGTTCACTGCTGCAGATATCACCGGCCTCCATTTATCTCTATAACTGGCATTTTCTTTCCAGCTGGTTGGCTCCAAGTGTTTGTAGGCTAGCCTGTAAAATATCTATTCATCGTCTCCTTGGTTCTGCCGTATGGTCAAGCAAAATCTATAAATGCTAATATATAAAAATCTACACAATTTCAAACAAAGAAGGCAGAAACTGATACAACACCTAAGTTGAATTAAAAGTAGGACATAACCCAGAATTGTACTAAGAAATCGGACCATGGATGACCTTTACTTACTCAGTAACTATGTTTGCTTTGTTGCCCTCAGATGACTGATTATACTTCTCCTTTGTCTTTGAACAGCTTATCTGAAGACACTCATTTATGAAGTCAACTGCTGCCTTTTGAACGTCAGTAGACTGCATCTTGGACATGAACCTTAGAGTGACTGTCACCATCGTCTGAGCACTGATCTCCATAGCCACACCAGCTTTCAAAACCTGGTCATACTGCTTTTGCAAATAATTTTTCAAATCATCTTTCGTTTTTAAATCTGTGAATGATAAAAATTAAACTTAGTGTGACACTGACATAGATAATTACACAGCTCATGATTTGAAATATTTTTTTTAAAGTCTTGTCACTCTCTGTATGTATAAATTTGTGCACATATTCACACACAAAAATTTGAAAATAAAATAAAATCTAAAGCCATAATGTTTCATTAGATATTCAGTCTCAAATTAACAAACCAAATAATGTGTTAAACATACAAACAACCCACCTCACTCTAAATATTAATATGTTTCTATACTTTAAAAGTAAAAATTCTACAGATAAAACTACATGCGAACCAAAATTTACAATCAAAGACGAAGAAGAAATTTAAAATGTTTCCCAAAAAAACTTGGCTGAATAATTAACGTTAATTAAAGTTAGCATTTGGGACTCCTCCGAACTTCATTCCCATATTATGGCGGCCAAACAAATACCCTAACAGGGCCTCAGTCGTGTGTAAAATGTGAAGTGCCTGCCGAGGAACAAATCGCTGAAAAACTAGGAGTGCCTCCGAATAACGGGTCAATATTGTTGAGGGCAAAATAATACTCTAACAGGGTCTCAGCGATATGTTAATTGTGGACCTGTTTCTGTGACTATGCCACACTGCTGACAGTATCCCCCGCGCCACTATGCGTGGCGCAGATGGGGGATTAAACTAGATGGCTGGGACTGATGAGCAAATAAACTGGAGGAAGTTGCAGGAGATGCGGTAGCTGCTGCTCTGAGTCCCAGCCATCTAGTTTAGCCCCCCTCCCTCCACGATGCACGTGGCAGCGCAGGGGATACGCTCGGCGGTGAGTTTAATCAGAAGAACACTGTCGCTAACCTGTGTCGGAGCTCGTTGTCTCCCCGCCATGTTGCTTTTATCGTGTGTTTTGTTACGTTTCTTGAAATTGTCACGGACAGTAATCCTAGTTTTGCCGCGATGTATTTGTCAGAGGAAGTCCGCATTTTACACATGACTGAGGTCCTGTTACGGTATTTGTTTAGCCGCCATAATATGGGGATGAAATTCGGAGGAGAGCCCAAGTTTCTGCTAATTGTTAAAGTTAAATAAATATGGCCAGATCTTTATCTGGTAATCTGGGTTTCAGTTTAATAGAAAACGGATCACCCCATAGTTGCTACACTCCTGTGCCAACAAAAAACACACAGAATTTTTATCGCAGTCCAGTGTGGAAAGATTGACAGACTGCTGTCTCAGCAAATGCACTAGCATACACACGCATTAAACACATATGGTAGCCATCCGAAGTGCTAACACAAACAGTCCAACATTAGAAATGCAATCATGGATGCTAGCAGAAGTCACCAACAGATCAGCAGTTGCACATGCGATCAATCTTAATCACATAATAGCACCACCAATATTGCAATAAGAGGCATCACACCATTTTCTGAATCTATAATTCACGCCACCACGTTGGTCACAGTAGAAAATAATTCCAAATGAAATCCACAGCCCACACCATGCACTCAACTCAGAAGCTGGGCGACAAAACTATCCTTTCAGTCCACAAATGGAGCAAAAATGCACCAGCCACAGTCCAGCAGAAGTAAAAACATTTGCCACGGCTCACACTAGTGACCGTGCCCAGCGTCCATTTTGACCAGATCTTTATGAAACTGTTTTCCTTAATTATCATTTCACAATAAATCTCGGAGAAATAAAATTATATTTGTTTACTTTATACCTATTTCCATTTGATTATTGGTAACTTCTTTGGTAATTAGTAAATTCCCTAAATCTATCAATGAAATTTTTCGGTGCTAAGAAAATATGGTAAAGGAGCCTAAAAAAATTGAATATTTTAAAACTTGAATCAACTCTAATACCATGGATACATAAAAATGCAAACATTTATCAGAATTATATGCATTTAAGAAAAAATAATAATGAGATTCTATAAGCTCTAAACAATAAAGTAAACTGGCCCACAAACAGTATTTCATCAGATTAAAATAAACTGAAATATTTCCACGACATTAATATCGTAGGGATTTTGAACGAAGAACAGTGAAGGTCAGTGTAATGAGTCATCCAATACCGTTTAGTTTTATTTTCATGAAGCATATATACTATGTAATTATGCTGAACAAATATCAATTTTAAAAAAAAAATTTTTAAACAGTATGACACTAAAACATCTAACAAACCTATATCAATGAATCCAGTGGAGCCGCTCCGTTTTCTCTTAGGGCTTCTGGTAGTTGAAAGCAGGCTGTCATTGTCATCTTCTGCTACAATCATGTTTGAACTCATAGCACGGCTGACCATCATACGACCACGACTCAGTGTCAGGGAGCTGAGGTTTTTCAATCCACCATATGATGATGTAGAACCAGATTCTGAGCCGCCGGAGCTTCCATTACTTCTTCTAACTAGGCCTTAAAATAAAAAATTCCATAATTATAAATCCAAAATGAGATAATGTACTCTAAATAAATGTACGTCATGGAGAAAGTTAAAAGGAATCTTGTAAGCCAAATGCATATTTTACAATCGTCATAATTAACAGTCAAGCAAACAATATATTTATATAAAATTATGAAGTAATTAACCCTTTCACTCATATAAATCTTTAAAAATTTCATTTTAAGAAATACATCGTCATAATTCGGTGAAACCTAAAAAAATTAGTAGAGAAGAAAAAGCAAAATTTGGGGTCTTGGTTAGTTTTTATAAAAATCCACGAAGTTGAAACCTATGATCACCAAGTAGACAACCAAGCCTGCTAGCTTATGCGTCACTGTGACTCCCAAGTCACTCACTAAAAAAACAAATCCATACTGACTCAAAACATATCTAAATAAATGGAACAAAATGTGACACGCAAGAAAACAATCATTTCAAAACTGCAGCCTAGATAAAGAGTTTTGGGAACTGCTGCCCTAAGTTATGCATGATTAAGTAATGCTAACATATATAACTGAAAGATCTAATTGACTTTAGTTGAAAGGAATAGGTATTCATAGTCTTACCACAGACAGGCGTGGTAGCTACAGACTGTGTACACTTTACAATGTCAGGTGGATGTCTTTCCTTCATATAATGCCTCCGTAACCGCCTTAGGAAGCCATTTTTTGACTTGCTGTCTGTAGTATGTACCCTGCACAAAAAGTTGTAAAAATAATTTTTAAGGCAGTGGGTGAGTAAACGTGAATGAGTGAAAATGAGTTACTGAGAGTGACTGTGTGAGTGAAAGTTCAGTGAGTTGGCTGAAAGAGGGTGACAAAACTAGTGTGTGTAGAAAAGAGTGAGGGGTGCATATGTGTCTGCATATATGAATACAAACTTGCATCTGTCCTTCTAATTCTTTTTCTGACAATTATTTGTTTGTTTTGTTTGGGTTTTTTTATTTTTTTTTTTATTTATTATCATTTATCTTAAATTTGATACTGTCAAAATGTTTGGTTACAAGAAGCACAGTTAATTCCACATAAATGATTTCTATAAATGTTATCATTTCCAAGTTCACACACACACCAAATATGAACAAATACTCAACTGAGGTATTTCAATCCAGCATAGGACAAATGTAGAACCAGTCTCTCTTTGTCTTCAACGCTGACTGTAAACTCCAGCAGAAGGCTATGGTTGTTCATCCAGAACTTGCGTCTTACATATATATGCTTTACAGATCTGGCTTTTTTGTATGCAGACTGTTGGCTCCTCGTCTATAAAGCTGATGCTCTCTGACTTTGAAGAAACACATTACTTCTTCTTCTTCTTTGCTGTAAACTCCAGCTGTAAATTCTGGTTGTTCATCCACTTCTGGACTGCATTCCTGTTCCAGAACCTGAGTCTTGCGTGTGCATATGTTTGACAGATCTGACACATTTGTGTGCAGAGTGTTGGTTCCTTGCCTCTCATGCAGATGCACTTTGACTTTGAAGGAAGCTTCCCATTAGTTGACTCCTACTGCATACTTTTGGATAGGCAGTGGGTCTATTCTTGTTTTCCCTATAATAGGGTCCCAGAACCCACACGGGGGGAACATTAATTAGTCACCTTTTATGATATGCTTGTTGGGAAGGAGGTGTGGGTCTATTCATTTTCCCCCATGATATGTCTGTTGGGAAGGAGGTGTGGGTCTATTCATTTTACCCCATGATATGTCTGTTGGGAAGGAGGTGTGGGTCTATTCATTTTCCCCCATGATATGCTTGTTGGGAAGGAGGTGTGGGTCTATTCATTTTCCCCCATGATATGCTTGTTGGGAAGGAGGTGTGGGTCTATTCATTTTCCCCCATAATATGTCTGTTGGGAAGGAGGTGTGGGTCTATTCATTTTCCCCAATGATATGCTTGTTGGGAAGGAGGTGTGAGTCTATTCATTTTCCCCCATGATATGCTTGTTGGGAAGGAGGTGTGGGTCTATTCATTTTCCCCCATGATATGTCTGTTGGGAAGGAGGTGTGGGTCTATTCATTTTACCCCATGATATGCTTGTTGGGAAGGTGTGGGTCTATTCATTTTCCCCCATGATATGCTTGTTGGGAAGGAGGTGTTGGGTCTATTCATTTTCCCCATGATATGCTTGGTGGGAAGGAGGTGTTGGGTCTATTCATTTTCCCCATGATATGCTTGGTGGGAAGGAGGTGTGGGTCTATTCATTTTCCCCAATGATATGCTTGTTGGGAAGGAGGTGTGGGTCTATTCATTTTCCCCCATGATATGCTTGTTGGGAAGGAGGTGTTGGGTCTATTCATTTTCCCCCATGATATGCTTGGTGGGAAGGAGGTGTGGGTCTATTCGTTTTCCCCCATGGGGGCCATGGAGCCAACAAGACGATGTAGAACCAATAAGCACCTTCAATTCCAGTGAGTAGATATTTTTTGTAAAATAATTCTAGCCAAAGATACTGGCAAACTTACCTATCACTAATCTTAGACACGAGTGATGCCATTTGCCCTGTGCTGCCAGCAGTGTGCCATGAATTCATACAATGAGGCTGGAACACACATGACTTCTCTAGACTTTTCACTTGGGCAGGAGCTAGGAAAATAAAGGATAAGCAACTGCTCATGTGTGGGGGAGAGGGGGCATGAAATGCATCACTGAGGTTACCTGGTAACTGTTGTTTTTTTTAATCAGGTCACGAACCCATGGGAATTCTCCAACAAATCCTTAAAAACTGCCATATTATCTACATTTTGTTTTCACAATTAAAGGGAGTGATTTTTAAACACTAACAACGTAAAGCATTAAACAGAATGCATTTCCTAGGGCCTAGAAACAATATATAGTGGGTGACCTCTATTTCTAAGGCTTTCGGAAATTGCACAAAAGTAATTTGGTGCACAAGAAAACCTCTCTAAATGCTTTTTTAAGTAAGCTTTTTCATACCACAACTTTATAAACACTCTGCGGGCACAAACACAACCAATGGCTTTAACTAGATGTGTCAGGTGACATTTGCGAGAGATTTTACCCAACTGGAAGTGTCGGTTTTGTGGCTTCTCGGGATGACAGTGATAAAGAAGTATCAATAAATTCAATCAAATCAATCAAGAGCGATTTAAAACAGATGCCACATTGGAACCAATATCACAGATAACCAATTACATGCTTTAAAGGTATTAAAAGGGTAATGAATAAAATATTTTATGAGTGTCTCCATAGTATCTAACCTTTTTAGGTCTCCATTTCTTTTGCAATGTGAGTTCCAGAAAAGAACTTTCTAACTTTACTTCTAAGAAATGTTCTCAAAGTGTGTTGTCTCCAGCATTAGTATCTTTTCCTCGCCTCTTGAATCAGGGAATTGTTAAGTTTTTCTGTACTTACCCTAAAAGGGCAGCTGGCACATTGTGTTGTGGTTGACAGCTAGGCTGTGATATCTGCACATTTCAGCGCACTTTTAATTAGTCACATCTTATGACATGCTTCTCTGGAGGTAGTGGGTATAATTTTTCCCCCAAAAGCAATAGGGCCCTAGAACCCACACAGAGAGTTTAGTTGTCTTAATAAATTCATAGTTATTCTGTCATTGTACCAATTCTGTCCATTTCAATTTATTATAGTTATCACTGCACTGTTACACATTTCTGTGTGTGGGTGCATGTGTGAAAGGACTTGTTTCCACACTTTCAGACCACATAACGCTAGACGTATATTTTATGGACCAATCAACACTCGGTGTGTGTGAAGCGGTCGACATGTAAGCTGCCTTTTCTTCCCAGGACTTTACCTGTAACCCATTTTAGGCTGTGTCAACCAGGAAGCCAGGGCCATTTTGGAGGGAAAATCCTGGCTCCATTTGGAATCAAGCCCACCACTTTCAGATTTGTAGGTGAGCGTCTAGCCGCTAAACCACCACGACTCCCTCTGTGTGTGTGTATATCTGTTCTTTTTAAACAGAAACACATGGTTATCCGATGGTAGGTTTTTTTTTAGCTGATAGGGAAAGCTTGTGTGCCGAAAAACTACTGAGGATCTGGAACTGTCATCTGATTTGTTGAACCATAAGGTTTACTTGTGCAAAATTTGAGCAATTTTACTCACCAAATTACATTTTAGATTTTGAACGTAATATGTATGTATACATACACAAACATATATTCATATATATATTCACATGCACACATACATCTGAGTGTGAGAGTGTGTGTGTGTATATATATATATATATATTTGTACGTGCAGGCACACATACATCTGAGTGTGAGTGTGTGTGTGTATATATATATATATAGTTGCACGTGCAGGCACACATACATCTGAGTGTGTGTGTGTATATATATATATATATATATATATATATATATTATATATATATATATATATATATATATATATATATATATATATATATATATATATATATATATATATATATATATATATATATATATATATATATAGTTGCACGTGCAGGCACACACACAAATAACAAAAGTAGACAGAGCATATGATCACTGTAATCTGATTCAGTAATACCTGTTTTAACCGACTTCAGTTTCTGAATATCACTGTGAAGCCTTTCCATCAAGCCTAATGAATGAGGCTGATCATTTTCTTGCATAGTATCACATTCTTCCTTTGTATCATCTGTGAAACTAGCGTCACACTGCTGAAACAATAATTTCTCTACACCCAATGTAGCACCCAGATTCAGCAGACTAATGCAGCCAAGTGATCCAGAGTATGCCTGTAACACAGCCAATGTTAAGGAAGGCCTGCCTGCATTTGTCATACTAAGCACCTGAAAATAGTCAAATTTTTTTTTTATTACCAGGAGAATAAGTGAACAAAAAGCATACTGAAAAAAACTAACAAAAATGAAAGTTTAAAGAATTGTTTCCCCACTGTAAATTTAGACAAAGAATACAGAAACAAAAGACTGCACAATTTATTGCCTGGCACATTTTGCTATATCTCATCAGGTGCATACTACAGTAACAACTTATTAAAATGAAGCAAATAAATGAATCCTTCTAATAAAAACAGTCCAGAATTATGCATACAAAAAGACATGGTCGTCAACTTGCAGTTGCCCTGGTGAGTCAATACTGTGTTTCAGTTGCAAGGATTCATTTATTTGTTACTGGCAGTATGCACCTGACAAGATACAACGAAATATGCCAGGCAATAAATAACTTGTGCAATTTATGATCTGTGTCTTCTGTGGTCAAAAAGTAATGGTAACCATGGTACATAATGTTATACTAGTTCACAGGGGGCAGAAATGCTGATTTCCCAGCATCAGATATTATGCAGAAAAGACCTGTCTTTATTTCCCTATAGGATATTCCTGATTAAAAAGTCTGTGGTTAAGCACCAGTAAGGAGATCAAAATTAGAATTTTGAGAGCATGCATCTTCCCTGTAGCAATAATATGGATGTGAGACGTAGACTATCTCACAGTACTTAAGAAAGAGAATAGGGGCTTTTGAGCTAAAATGCTATAGAAAGATTCTCAGAATATCTTGGATGAAAAAGAGGAGAAATACTGACATTTTAAAAGATCAGAACATCAAGGAAGATTGGCTACTAAACAGCATCCTGTCTCGGAAGCTGAAATATTTTTGTCATATCAAGCGCCACAACAGATTGGAAACAATTATAGCAAAAGGCATGGTACCAGGAAGGAGGGGCAGGGGCCGACCGACACGAAGATGGGCACAGGATATAAGTGACTCCTTGAGTGTGAAAGTTCATGAGGTAGGAGAGCTGACGAGAGACCGAGTTTCTATCAGGCAGACTGTGATGACAGCGACATTCTGCAAAGGACCTGCTACATGATGATGATGATAATATTCCTGATATTAAAATAACTAACAACGAAGGATCAACCATTGTTCTGCAACATGATGCAGGCTATCAAGGTCTATACATTTTGCATACTGCAATTAAGTCGCAATTCCCCATGGCAATAATACTTATCAACCCTAAATTTTGGACATCTCAAAACAGCAATACAAAGATAAGAGTCAGTTTTACGTTTACCAAGATAAAAATCTGCCTTCACAACATTCTCATTCTAGTTCTTTCTCTCTATCACTCTAATAACACATTAGTGTTGGACTACTCCACAACAAATACATATGCAGTCAGGTGTGTGCTTGTTTTGTCATTCTTTTAAAACTTCAACTATGCATAATTTTCACATTTACTTAGCCACACTCAATGCTTACACAACTGTTAAATTTTATTTTCCAGAGTACCAAGCAATAATTTTAAAGTTTTTCAGTTCTAATCATAATTTTCACACCCATTTTTCATCAGTTTTCATGTTTAGTTTGATCTTTGACTCACACTTTAAACAACTTAAGAGACCTACACACTAAATGTTAAAGTAGGTCAAGGACTTTTTTCATGCCAATGGAGCAGATGTATGGTGTTTCACCCATATCTGTATAGGTCAATCGACACTAAGTTGATAATATGGTCAACACTGCAACATCCACCTGTATTTTCCAAGTCATTGCTGGATACTTCTTCGTCTTCATGCTCACTGCTGTAACCGCTCAAGGGGTGGGGGGGGTTCTGGCTGTTCTTCCACTTCTGGACTCTAGTCCTGATCAAGAACCTGAGTGTTGTGTGCACATCCGTTTACAGATCTGACTCATTTGTATGCAGACATTGGTCCCTTGCCTCTCAGGTAGATGTACACCAACTTCAAAGGAAGCTCCTAATTAGTTGACTCTTATGATACGCTTTTAGGCAGGCATTGGGTCTGTTCTTGTTTTTCCCACAATGGGGCCCCAAACCCACACTGGGAATTTCCTGATACTAATTTTACCTAAACATTAAACTGACACTAATTACAAACTTATCTCATAACTGATAAAACGAAACAAAGAATACCATACCCCAACAGTTCCTGAGTCAGCTATTTGGTGAAGCAAGGAAGACACCAAGTCGCTGTCATTACAAGCCAACATAAAAGAAGGTGATATACAGGTTGTCAACAGATCACCAGCTACAGACAATGGAAGCATTCCCAGCATGTTCAAATGAACATCATCAAAGCTTACTGGTTGCTGTACACTTTGTTCATTATTGAACTTTTCCTTACTTTTACCTACAGCAGCTGTGAATGATGGGGATGTATTATTTGCCGTTGTTTTAATCATTGGATTTGTTTGTGATCTGAAAAGAAAATAAGGTATAACAAATTATTACATTATAATTACCTAACAAGTATGCAGCGGCAAAATATGTATTATTCACATTAAACAGACAGACAGAATGACAGACAGATAGAATGACAGACAGAGCAAGCAAGATTAGAGAGAAATAGAGAGAAAAATTAGTTAGCAACTGCATTGTAAAAATACAACCTATAAAATAAACTATAAGTGCCCTTTAAGTGAACACGAAAAAGAACATATTTTCCAAATGTATTTTTTTTTTTTTAAATGCTGTTTTCTTTTTCTAAAGATGAAATTTACAGAATGAAATAAGCTACTTATAGCTGCATACTAGACGAAATAAAACACCTAAAATCAAACAAAACTATAACAAAAAACTAACAAAATAAGTAAAATCCATGTTTTTAAAAAAAAGTTTTAAAAAAAACTTAAGTGTATCAAATTCCTATATATTACCTTGGATTCTGCCTCTGTGCAACGGCTATCAAATTTACAGGTAAATACTGAAAACCTGGTTTAAGAAAAGAAAATAGAAATGAGTTTGTCAAGGTGGTACTTAGATACAAAATTTAAGGCAAAGAAATGTCTACTAATGTTTATGTTGCAGAGTTCTGTGAATTCAAGTTATTAACTCTTGCATATCTTGAAGAATTGGATGCTGATTATGTGTTGGATAGTTTCATCTGAGTAGGAAAGCAACACATTCATTCCAAGCACGGCCATAGGGACTACATAGTGGAGGGGAATCTGTATTTTTTTTTAACACTGAATACGCCGAGAAGATATGGAATATCAGAAACTTTTAAGAGGTTTTATGTGGGTAGGTGCTCTGTTGAGAAAACATCACGCTCAACCAGGATCCCCGGAAAGGGTATCTTTAGGTTATAACCGTGGCTAGGTTATGTGCGCCATATAAAATGGCTTCATCATCATCGTGTAGCAGGTCCATTGCAGAACGTCGCTCTCATCATGGTCTGCCTAAAAGAAACTCAGTCTCTCGCCAGCTCTCCCGCCTTATGCACTTTCATACTCAAGGAGTCACTTATATCATGCGCCCATCTTCGTGTTGGTCGGCCCCTGCCACTCTTTCTCGGTACCATGCTTTCTGCTATATTTTTTTCAAATCCGTTGTGGTGCTTGATATGACCAAAATATTTTAGCCTCCGAGAAAGGATGCTGTTTATTAGCCAATCTTCCTTGATGTTCTATCAGTATTTCTCCTCTTTTTCGTCCATGATGATGATGATTATGAGATACAGCTGAACTTCATGAAATCAAAAGACTGAGCAAAAAAGGGACTTTTTAAATCTGACTAGAAGTGACAGACAAACTGTATAATCTAAAAGAGCAATAATGTGCAATTACATACCCTTGCTGCTTAATTTGACCGAAATTGTAACCTCATGTGGCTGCTGCTCATTCACTTTCACCCTGGTCAGAAATGACTCGTGGGGGAGAATGCTGGAAATCTGTATAGAATCTACTGAAGGTTCTGAGCTGTCAGCATCATCATTAGTTACTGGACCACAGCACAAAATCACATCTTTCGAAATAAAGGATCCTCCCAATCTTCTAAATGTGTCTTTTAAGAAGGATTGACTCTCAGTAGTTGATTCATCCTATATATTAGAAAAAAAAATTTAAACTGAATGTCTTAAAAATTATAAATGACACAAAGACTACCTGTGTACTATGAGGTCCTATAACAGAATGAAGAATGGTAACAATGTGATTTAGCAATATGTGCTTTTTTTTTACCTCCATAAAAACTTATAACTTTTACACATGCAATAATGTGTAGCAGCTTTTTCCAGACACAGCACTAGAAAGATGCAAAGCAGCACCTTTTCATTTGAGTTCTGTGCTTTGTATAAATATATTCCAAACCACAAATGGTGGTAAGTGTGTATTACTCACATCAGACATTTGTGACAGTGAGAATTCTCAATTGTGTGAATGATGAATTAGGATAAATGTCTTGGAACTTTTAGTTAAACAAATTTGTCTCAGTCAGGAGCCTTTTCCAGAGATTTTGAGAAGTTCTAATAAGCAGAGAGATCTCTCATTTGTTAACTATGGTTTAGCAGTTGCTACCCCTACACCCTTAAGTAGGTGTGGCTAATGAGTGCCCTGATACTCAGAAGTCTTTTCAACACATTCATTGGCTCAAATTCTAGTTGTTCGTCTACTTCTGGACTTTAGTCTTATTCCAGAACATGAGTTTTGCATACACATCCGTTTTACAGATCTGGCTAATTTGTATGCAAACTGCTTGATCCTTGCCTCTCAGGCAGATGCATTCCGCTTTTGAAGGAAATACCCTTAATTAGTAGACTTTTATTAATGCTTTTCATGGATACAATGAGTCTATTCTCTCATCTACAATAGGGCCAGGAGCCCACACAGGGACACTGTGGTGATCTGCTGAACCTCTGGTGTAGCAAATAATAAAGATCTTTTTTTTACGCCTTAGGTGCCCGGGCATATGGGAAGAGCGTCCCATATTTTTACAGACCAATCGGAACGAGGTGGGAAATGTGGTCAGTATTACGCCGACCGTCCTTACTTTCCCAGGACAGCCATTCTGGTACCCATTTTAGGCTGGGTCGACCTGCGAAACTATGATAAAATCTATGCAGCCTGCAGTGGGTTTCAATTGCGGTACATTGGAATTACGAGTCTTACTCGGGTGGTCCATTAATTATGACAATTTCAGTCTTCCTCATTGTTTATTTGCTTCCAAAGGATCTTTAACATTTCTGCCTTGTCATGTATCAATTCACCACTGTGGCGCAGAACCAGACAACCTTGTTCATTTCCCAACATATTGGTCCACCCTGGAGAACAGATCACAAGAGATGCTCACTATTCCAAATCCCAGAAGCAGAACATGCTCTTCTGTGGGCTGAATTATTATTATTACCTTTCTTTAAAACAAAAAGCAAAATTCTAGACTAAATGGAATATTCAAAGCAATTTTTTGTTAGGTTTTTTTTTTTTTATGGGTATACCAGCCTATTTTGATTGCTTCATTATTAGAGAGGTAACTCTTGCTGCACACTAAACCGTCCAGTCCATAAATGCTCAGTATATCGATCACAGTGTCAAGTAACAAATATACAAGTTACTGAACAATAATGCAGAAAGGGGTGCTATTACAGTTACTGAAATACTGCTTTATATCACAGTAAGTGAGAATTCATCAGCAGATCAGTGGGGAAGTACATGAAAACTGAAGATGTGGCAAAAGAAAAAAAATGAGAAATCAACCAGCAGAAAAAAGCATAATGAATATGTCTTGAAAGAAAGTAACTCACAAAGATAATTGGCTACTTTAACTAGAAAAGGCGAAATCCACATTCTGGGGCACATAATGAGAAGGGAAAAACTGCAGCATGAAAAGACAAGAGGAAAGTTGTTTAGCAGAGGGCCAGAAAGACTAAGACAGAAGATGTTGCAGGCTGCCATCAAGGCATAGATGACCATTAAGACAGAAGGCTGTGGATATATATGAAGACCAACATTATAGGGCATGGACTTAATTCTATGTGATCTGTATGGAAAAAAAATTATACAGTGAGTACAATTCAGCAAAAGAGTGTAGCTACAGAATTATACACTTATTTAGACAGTAATGTAAAACAAACGAAAGAGCAGGTATGGAGAGATATAAAATTACAAGTTTTAAAAAATACAATAGGAGTTTTTCAAAAGTCTATGAATTATATAAGTCAAACGCAATAAAAATTATCACAAAACGTACAATGTTTTACTTTAATATCAAATCAGTACTACTGTATGGAGCTGAAACACACAGAGTGACCAAAACAATTACTAATCAGTTACACACATTAGCTGAACAGAATAGGGGGATTAAACAATAATAGAATTACTGATTTGGAGCTTTGGGGTGAAATAAATTCAAGTGATTCAAGAGGTCAGCAAAATATGCTGGTGCTGGATAAGACACACACTGAGAAACCATGATAATATATCTAAAATGTACTTAAATTGCAAAAGAAAAAAGGCAAACCAACAAGACAGACAAAAGACAATTAAAAGACTTGACGTGGAAAAAAACAAAAACAGGAAACACATGAAGTTAGCTGTACATGATGGCAAAGAATAGAATGAACTAGCATGTGCTGGTTAAGTGACTATGCTTCACTGGAGGATACAGAGCAGACGAAAACACAAACTAGTGGTCTGAAAAAAAAAAATGACAGATAGTTTTAAGAATGTGTGTTTAAGCAACAGAAAACACTAGTTCACTCTTTATCAAGCAGTACTTAAAAAACATGACTGTCCCAAAGGAAAGATTGAGCGTGCCCTGCTGCCACAAACACCCCGTCCTGCAAAAGCAGTAACAGATTAAACAGCAACAGCTGCATCTATTTCTTGAACAGCCTGCACAAAAAAGAATGTTTCTCAACAACCAACAGAAGTAGAAAAACTAACAGATTTTGATAAACATGTCTATCTCTACAGAGATGTCAGTGATAAGGAGAAAAGCTCAACACAGCTCCAGGTGGTTAACTTAGCTCTAAAGCCTAGATCAGTGGTTTCCAATCAGCTATGACCTGAGCCCCCAGCACCCCGTTCTTATTTTCAAACATTGGCCATTGACACCCATTTTTTTAAACAAGTCTTTTTTCATGAGTAACTTTGCATTTGAAATCCCCCCCCCCCCCCCCACCTCCCTAAAAGAATGCTAAAGAACGGTACTTTAATTTTAATTCAACACAAAGAGAACAGGGGAGTTCCTGGGAAAGTCCAATAATCAAGGGGTGTTATGGTTTGAAATGAATTTAATGGAACAATACAAAGAGAATGCCTGCATGTCTGGACAAGAAAATGAAAATGATCTTTGTTTGCCCTGACCGCCTCAGAGACACGGACGAACCCTACCCTTAAAAAATTAGACGTTTCTAGGAACTCACAGATTTCCTTTGTTTGGGGGAGGTTAAAATTAAAGTACCTAGAGAATTCTGAAGTTGGGTTTTTGTTTTCTTTCTGTTTTGTTATTTTGTAAATGATATCTTAAATTTGTTCATAGGACCCCTGGGAGTCTGCAGATCATCAAATGTAAAAGACACCTAGATACTAGATGACATTGACAGAGGGTAAATAATATCCAGCTGAATGTTTACACAAGAGACAAGAAGCAACAGTAGAGTAGAGTGGACAAATAAGAATGAACTAGCTGGCATCGGCATTAGGAAACAATAAAATTATCCAACAGGCTGTTCCAAATAGGAAAGCATCCCATTCATAACTAAATATATTACTAAAATTACTCTTGCATTCATGATATGAACCAAAAAACCATCCGGCGAAATAGTGCCCCTCACTGGCTGTTGATCTCTCCTGATGGCAGTGTAAATAGAATCATAGCCCTATTTGTATTTCTACATCATGATCATCCAAAGATCAACTAGTATTACTGCCATATGAATCAACTGTTTATCAAATTAGGAAGTATTATTACATTACAATTAAACCATATAATAATAATATATATATATTACCTTGTTGATAAAACTGCTCCAAAGCATGCAATGAGGTGATGAAAAGTCTACACAGCTCAATGAGATTTTCATTTTTTGCTGGTATTCATTTAATAGTGCCGGCGACAAAAAGGAATCTACTAGCACATCTGAATCAAGTACCATTTTGTCAGCAAAGTATCTCAATGACTTTTTTGTACAGGGAGCTTTTGTAAACACAAAAACACTTCTGGTAAAATTATTTACTTTTGGAGTGTTCTGCCTACGATTTACTGGTGAGGTAAGAATATCGTGTGCAGCCCACTTGAAGTCGTAAAGAGTTTCGGTCAAGGCTGTTGACAGGAGATGAGCAGGATGCAAGCCATTTCTCGTCGTCTTTGGTACCGTGGCGTCCCCTTTCTCAGCTGTAAACACTTCCATCAGTTGTCTTTCAAACTCTTCAACACTAGACAATTTAAAGCTTCTAAGCGAAGACACGCCTGCTCTCTTTCGTGCGATTGTTTTCGTCGTATTAAAAAACTTAAAGCCCCATTCCATATTTGCACTAGATGTTCTTCGAATCGGCGTCGTCGTATTATTGTTGCTAACCTTTCTAGAAAACCCACTAAATCGTAATCTGTTGTAACTCGACAAAATGCGAAATACGGTCAATATCACTTCACTAGCATGGTCCTTTTCTGTGCAGCTTGCTAGGTTTGTGTCGATCAAAAACACAATTTTACACATTCGTTCTTCTACCTCCATTCTGGCGTGTTGTTCTTCACACAATTTCAATAAATATTCTAAATAAATATACAAAATTGAACATGTCGCCGCCGCCTGGTTGGGGTTGTTGTTGATTGGTTGGACAAAGCAGAAGAACCAACAACTTCCGTTAAATTATCTTGTCAAAGACATTATTGGTACACATTTTTATAGTCCAATAGGAATGATCAGAACAGTAGTGAATTTTAAAAGTAGTGCTCTAAAACGTTAATAAATATATCGAAAACTCGTGTACAGATCAACATGAATTCTTGCGTAGAATATTACATTTTCCACGTCCTTTCGATTTTGTAATTTACAATTGCACACGTGCTGCTGTTTCTAAAACGGCCAATTTATTGTATCGTTGTTTGACTAATAATGTGTGTACCCGCTGAAACTTCCTTATCCCCACCCCCTCACTCAACCATGTTGGAGACCACTGATCTACATAGACAGGTCATAACGCCCGGGTCAAGGTCTACGTCTGGCTGACAGGTACAGACAACAACATCTTTTGGATGTGCTGTACCATTGCACTTCAATTCCCAGGATCACTAAGGTGTCCACGACATGGTGGTGACAGCCATCAAATCTAGCCACTCTAGAGACAGTCAGTAAGTCTCTTGAAATTCGCTTTATTTTCTCTTTGGGCACGTTACCACACAGAGGGCTGAACTACCAACACTGTCATCTAAAATCCTAGATGATTGAACTGCCCACACAGTATTATCTAAAACCCTCCAGTTACGGCCCCTGGCATTCCCCGAGTGTATTTATTCTCTTGTCCCACATGTCTCGTCAGTCTACTGGCAAGATATCGACCTGACTGCTTCGAGAAACTAAGCTAAGTAATTGTGTGGTATTGTTTGATTAATGTATGTGCTGATGAAGGCTCCATAGCCACAAGCTCACGTTTTGTTTGTGTTTGTTGTATTGTGAAGCTTGCTGATATACGTTTCTTTCGGTTTTAAAACTTTAAAAGAATAGTGGCACTTACCAGGTAATGGCGACTGGGTGACCCATTGGCTCGCTGGTAGACGACGTCATCGCCGATCGGAACAGCATGTGGATCTGTCTCCTATTATTGTATTAACACTTGCAAGAGTTTTTTTTTTTTTTTTTTTTTCAAAGATACTTGGTGGCGAGCAGTGCATGTTTTATGGCACACATAACCTAATCACAATTATAACCTAAGGCTCCCCCTTCGGGATGCTGGCTGAACATGACGATTTTTGTTCCTCAACGCAAGCCAAGCCAACCAGGAAGCTTTACCAAGCATTACCATGGAGATAACCGCTGCTATCAGAGCACTAGCATCGGCAGCAAAACAATCATACATGCACTAATTATATCAGAACCCGTAAGCGTGCTTCAGAAAATCGCAAAAGCTACTTACTATACACTCCGAATGGGTAGAAAGCAATCGAAAATTGCACTTAATCCCCCTCACCTTGATCTATACCCTTCGTTTACAGATATCATCAACGCTGTAAGGTCTCTCCCCCCCCCCCCCCACACACACACACACACACACACACACACACACACACAGAGACAGAGAGACAGGCAGATTTTGTAATTTTAAAAACACATACTGTTGCCACTGTGTCACTTCCTCAATGATGACACTCGGTGCGGCTGGCACTCCCCTTTCTTGGCAACTAAACCAACTCCCAGTAGTAATTTAAACGACAATGCTAATATTGTGTTCAAGCTATCAGAGTTATAAAGAGCTTTTTTTTTCTATTTCATTAATGCCCACTAATTATGTTTGGTTATGCAATATCGCATAGCTTGTGTATTAATTGTCTAAGATCGTAGAAATATAGATTGTCACATTAAATATATTTTAAATGTACTTTCACACAAATATAGTAATTTTACTATTATATATATATATATATATATATATATATATATATATATATATATATATATATATATATATATATATATATATATATTTTTTCTTTGAACAAACGTTATACATAGTATTTTTTGAGTACAATGCAACTCCATTAGCTCTTGTGTGGTCAGCTCTTGGCTGTGCTCTTCCACAAGCTCTTTGATATCACTGTTATCCACCTACAACCCCATGATAGTGTCCAAAGACACAATCTCGTTGACTACAGGTTGAACAAGTACTGCCTCGAACCCCTTTAAGTCACAAATCGACAACGCTGTCCGGCCAAAGCTTCTTCCAAGCAGAAGTTGGGGTTCTCTTGGTAACCCCTTCCCCCGCCTTGTCGGTCATCTTGAGGCAGGCAACGATGTGGAAGTGATTTTTCCAAAACTCTTTGAAAGTGAGGTTGGTCCCTTCAGTCACCTGAAAACAGTGCTCGAAGAGTGCTTTAGTGTAGAGCTTTTTAAAGTTAGAAATATCTTGCTGGTCATGGGCTGGAGTAACGGAGTGATGTTGGGAGGCAGAAACTGGATCTTGATGAACTTAAATTCTTCAGGGAGGTCATCATGTAGGCCTGGAGGATTCATGTACATATATTACAATAAAGCACAAGTTTGAGAAAATGTGTGATCACAAGTGACACTTCGATGCTACTGTAACGAGTGCTAAACACAGACTGATGTAACATGCGAACAACCCGGGACTTCCCCTCTCCTCGCCACTCGTTATGCGAAACGTCGCTCGTTAAGCAAGCCATTTTTTTACAATTTGTTTTGCTCGTTATGCGAATTACTCGTTATGAGAGGTGCTCGTTAAGCGAGTTTCTACTGTATGTTAATTGTGTTTTTTTCTAATAGTAAAATCCTAATATCATGCGGATATTCGAAGTTATTTGGGATACCAGTATCCTACCTTAAGATATACCACGTCCGACTTAAGCTATTTAAATAAATAAATAGAGTCGGCGTGGATATACTAACACGCTCGCCTGCGGATCCAGAGGTCAAGTCATGACGATGACAGACTTGTTTTTCTTTCAAAATTCACATTGGCTTCTAGGCTGTCCCAGCCCTGAAGTGGGTACCAGGTATAATCCTGGGGAGTAAAGGCGGCCGGTGTGATGTTGACACATCACCCACCCAGCGCCGCTATATGCCCAATAAGCCTGAAGGCGTGAAAAGGGGTCCTTTGCTGAAAGAGGGTCCCTCTAAGACGTACTGACATCTCATATGCTAACCTCTGTTCTTGTTATGTACTGTTTCATCCTTCTCTTAAAGTTTGAAGTTTGAACAACGAATCAGCATTGTAGCACACGGGTAGTAACTAATAAGCGTTCCGTTCTTTCTTCTAACTCAAGTCTAAGTCCGCAGAAGCTCTGCACAGTGCACAGGCTCTGTAGCACCGGCGAGGATTCTTAAATACTTTAGGTAGATTTTTAACTCAAACTATGCCCAGGCAGCGCCGCTATGCTCTCTTTTTGATTTCCAACTGCCAAGGGTTTTTATACGCTCGCAACAATACACACTGGCGTCCGATCTCACTACCCAGAGACCAGGGGAAATACTTGCAGTCCAAGTCCACGTAAAAAAAAAAAACCAGCCCCTACCGGGGATTAACCCGAAACCCCAGCACTTGAGGCGGACAACATGCCTCGAGACCACGCAGCCCCCCCCCCCCCCCCAATCCTTCCCTGTAATTCTCTAGAACCATCTACTCCCAACATGCTTTCAATTGTCGTATGCTTATTGCAGCGGATCATATATTCAGTAAGGGGAGTCCTTTGGAGTTCATATTTCTTGCAGTAGAGTAAATAATGTTCTTCTTCTTCTTTATTCACCGGCTGTAAACCCCCATGGAAAGTCCTGCTTGTTCATTAGTTTGGACTTTGGCTTTGCGATAGGCCCTGAGCTTTGTGGACTTAGGCTTTGTGATTGGCCCTGAGCTTTGTGCGTACCTCGGCTTTACTGGCTTATCTGTGTGCAGTTGGTTGTTCCTTGCCGCTCAGGCTGATGTACTCCGACTTCGAAGGAAGTCCCCAATTAGTTGTTCCTACAACATGCTTGTTGGGGGGGGGGGGGGCAATGGGTCTATTATTGCCCTACCCCCCCCCCCCCCCCACACACACACACAATAGCGACAGCAATGGATATCGAGGATGCTTACAGCAGAGTAAGATATGACATGTTGGTGACAGCACTGAAGCAGAAGGAGGTCATTTCCTGGCTGGTTAATTGGGCTGCAGCTGTCCTGTGTTCGCGACGAGTTGCTCTCCGTCTGGGCTCATAGACCTCAGAAGCACGCAGTAGAGCCCCTGGACTGCCACAAGGATCCACCATCTCGCATGTGCTCTTAAAAGTGTAAACGAGCAAGACTGCAAGACTAGGAGCGCCAGGAGTTGGAAGAATACTGACTTTTGCAGATGATATACTTGCATATAAGCAGGGAGGGGGGGGGGGGGGGGGGGGGGGGGGGGGGGGGGGGGGGGGGGGGGGGGGGGGGGGGGGGGGGGGGGGGGGGGGGGGGGGGGGGGGGGGGGGGGGGGGGGGGGGGGGGGGGGGGGGGGGGGGGGGGGGGGGGGGGGGGGGGAGGGAACAAATAGTCCGGACCTAAAAGCGACAGTAGACAAAGTGACTGAATGGTGTACAGAAATGAGGGCTCCCGTCCACCCAGAAAAGTTGTATTTTTGTGGTGTTCTCTAGACAACATGATTGTTAGAGCTTCTTCTTCTTCTTCTTCTTTCGTTCGCCTGATGTAAGTTGTCTATATCAGCAATTTTGTCTCCTGCATAAATTTCACTGTCGTTGTTAGTTCATTCAGTGGTCCATAGAGTTTACGTTCTACTGTTGTTCTTTCTGGCCAAAAGGTTTGCCTTAATGTGTCAAAATCGGTGCAGTCCTGGAGTACATGCTCTGCTGTCTGGGGCACATTTCCACAGGTGCACATGGCTGATACACCTATATTGAATTTTGTGTACATGTGGTTACGTAATCAAATGTGCCCTGTTCTGAGGCGAAGGATAATGACTTGTTCTGGTCTGTCCATAATAAAATAGTCGTCTTGTGCTGGGGCTGGTGGTTTCCTGATCGATTTAATG